GTTCCTTTTGACGATAGTGTAAAACATATTTGTCCCTTCCTGAAACAATTTCTATCTTATTGAATGTAAAGTGTTATGTGCTAAAACTCAGGTCGTAGCTGCTAGAGGAGGTTCTTTGCATGAGTAGCCCATCAACTAAAACCATCAATAGGAAATTACTTTATTTGCAGGAAAATGAGTTGAAGGACTTTTGAAAACTGAAATTATAATAGTTCTTTCTGCTTGTATGGTTCTTTATTGCTTATTTTGTTCAACACTGTCTAGTTCTTAGATACCTTAATGTTGACAAATTTTTTAACTGATTTCATGTTTCCTTATTATAGCTTGTGAAAAGCCCTGTCACCATATGTGGTGATATTCGTGGGCAAGTCCATGACCTTGCAAAGCTTTTTCGATTTAGTGGAAAGGTATGTGCTTATTTGCCTCTCTCTTGAAAGGATTAAGCCTCTTATGTTACAATTGTGTTTGTCCCAAAAAGATCCCATCCCTTATTATCTTAGCTTGAATTAATACATCTATCGGTGTCCTTTTTTATTGGTTGACAGTGTCCTGACACAAATTATTTGTTCATGGGAGATTATGTCGATCGTGTATGCTATTCAATTGAAACAGTAACAGTGTGTTTCAAAATTTCCTATCTTGACTATAATCATGCTTCTGATCAAAGATCTCTAATGTGACAAGTGACGGTCTAGTAAACTAACTCATTATCATAATTCATATTTATTGCACATCACTTAGTACTTCCTTCATCTGCCTGTTGAGCATAGGCCGCTTATAGGATGTGGGTGTGGAAAATGTCTCTTTGAATTATTAATACACCAAAAAGTTCTGGGTAGAAAAGAAATTACCAATGCAATCAGCAATATATTTAGAAATGCAAATAGTGGATTAGATGGAGACAAACATGTATCCTGTGAAGCAACATATAAACCTGACTAAGCTTATTCAGATGATCAGTGTGGCAGTTTATAAGCCAAAATTTTGTGTTTCTATTCTCGAGTTATGGTATGATAGCTTGCACTTGTCCTCCAATTCATCAATAATGAAGAAATCAAAATTTTATAATAACTTCTACTTGCATTTGTATGTGCACATTTATCAATTGTGAATATTGTGTAT